TTGGAAGGCTGAGGTGGAAGGATCACTGGAGCCCAGCAGGTCGAGGCTGCGGTGGCCGAGAGTGGCCACTGCACTCCAGTCTGGGCGACAGAGTGAGACTCCAACTCACAGAAAAAAAAAAAAAATTACCAACATCGTTCTTCTCTGACATGGAAACGACAATACAGAAATTCAAATGGAAACATAAATGAATATGGATAGCCAAAACAATCCTTAGCAAACAAACAAACAAAGCAGGAGATATCACACTTCCAGAATTCAAACTTTACTGTAAGTCTACAATAATCAAAACAGGTTGATACTACTATAAAAACAGGCATATAGATTAATGGAACAGGATGGAGATTCCAGAAGCAAAACCTTAATTTCTCAACCAACTTATCTTCAACAAAGCCTCCACCAACAACTACTGGGGAGAGGAGAACCTATTTAGTGAATGGTGCTGGGAAGACTATCTGACCACATGCAGAAGATTGAAACAGGACTCCTACCTATCACCATACACGAAAACAAGCTCAGTGGATCAAAGACCTGAACCTAAAACCTCAAACTATAAGAATCTTAGAAAACACAGGAGACACCCTTACAGAAATTGGAACAGGCAACCAGTTCCTGATCAAAACCCCAAATGCCCATGTCATAAGAGAGAAAATAGACAAGTGAGAACTCATTAGACTGAAAAGCTTCTGTAAAGCAAAAGAAACTCGAGAGTGGGAAGACAGCCCACAGAATGGGAAAAATTTGCCAACTGTGTATCTGACAAAGGCCTAACATCCAGGATCTATAAGGAACTCAAACGTGCTGAAAGGAAAAAAACAGCCCTGTTAGAAAGTGGGCAAGAGACATGAATACACACTTCTCAAAAGAAGACATAGGAGTAACCAACAGATACATGAAAAAAATGTTCACCTTCCCTAGTCATCAAAGAAATGCAAGTTAATACCACACTGAGATACCTCCTAACTCTAGTCAGGATGGCCATCATCAATAACTCAAAAAACAACAGATGCTGGAGAGGATGCAGCGAAAAGGGAACACTTCTACACTGTTGGTGGGAGTGTAAAATAGTACAGCCTCTGTGGAAATCAGTGTGGCGATTCCTAAAAATCTAAAAGTTGAACTTTCATACAACACAGCAATCCTCTCTCTGGGAATATACCCGGAGGAGCTCACATCATCCTACAAAAAAGGTACCTGCATGTGCATGTTTATTGCAGCTTTATTCACAATAGCAAACACATGGAACCATCCTTGCAGCCCACCAAAAGTGGACTGGATAAAAAAAGGGTGGTACATATACATGATGGAATATTATGCAGCCATAAAGAAGGACAAAATTATGGACAGCAACTTGGATGAGTTTAGAGTCTATCATACTCAGTGATCTATCACAGAAACAAAGAACTGAGTACCACATAATCTCATATATAAGCAAACCCTGAACGTTTATCATAATACTATAAGAAGGGTTTGGCAGGAGCAGGACACTGCCACTGGGGGGCAAGGTGGGGCATAATGTCAATAAGTGTACCTGATCTCACACCAGGCGAAGTGGGGACCAAAGGGAGGCCCAAACTTTACCTGTACAGTGACCACTTACGTACCTAACCCTGACTTATACCCCACATTTATAAAAAAAAGAATAGATGTTTATTTGAAGTAAAAAACAAAAATTACATCTTAGCAATGAACACAACAAAAGCTGTGTCTTCATGAAGCCTGCATTTTAGTACAGAGTGGGAGTCATGAAGATAGACAATAATAAACAAAATAATTACATTAAAATAGTCACTAGATGTAACCACTCAGGTATCATATGAACATTTTCAACACATCCAAAATGGCATTATCTCCTCCCCTCCTTTCCCTCACCTTTTTCTCTGTTTATCTTCCTTGTTTTTATATCACTAAAAAAATGCTACGCACTATTCACCTAGTCATTTATTTCCCCTGCACCTATCCTGTCTTCAGACTCAGTTGTGTTTTTTTATTTGCTTAACAAACAGTTCTCAGGTCTGCTCCCTGTTTGTCTTCTGTACCTCGGCCCATCAGCATTTTTCTTCTGGATTGCTACTTCAGCCTTTTAACTAGAGTCTGCTTTATATCCTCCCCCCCCTTTTTATTTTTTGAGTTGGAGTCTCACTCAGTCGCCCAGACTGGAGGGCAGTGGCCGCTC